AACACTTGTTTATGCACCTGCCCTAACCTTTGGTGGAGGGCCTGCACATAGGAGGTCAAGTTATTATGCTGTAGTCGAAAAGTCCTGACTTGTGGGCACATCCAAACAAAATCTCAAAAGGGGATAGGCCATTTCTTGGTTGAGGGTTAAATCTCATGGAGAAGAGTGCTAGGGGAAGGCATTCAGTCGAAGGCTTCCCTGTCTCTTGCATGGCTTTTGCAATTTTATTCTTTAGGGTGCCATTTGACCTATCTACTCTCCCACTACTCTGGTGGTGGTAAGGGGTATGGAAGGCCTGGCTGATCCCCTAGTACTTGTATTATTTCCTTCATTATTTCTCCAGTAAAATGACTATCTTTGTCACTTTCAATCACTTCAGGTACCCCGTACCCATATACCAGTTCCTTCAGAAGCTTAATTGCTGTGACCTTTGTCGTGGCTTTCAACACTGGGTAGGCCTCAGGCCAACCTGAAAAGAGATCAATGCACACCAACACATATTCATACACTCCTACCTTAGGTAGTTGAATATAGTCTATCTGCAGTCTCTGAAACAGGTATAAAGTGGCCTTGGTATGTGTTTACCTGGTGTTTTGACAGCCTGTCTGGGGTTGTTTCTAGCGTAAATCATGCAAGCCTGGGTGTGCTTAGCTGCTACAACAGTAAACCCAGGCACCACCCAATGGGTGTTTACTATACTGTTCATGTTCATTTTGGACAAATTGGTTGGTCCATGGGCCATCTGGGCCATCATAGGGTATAGAGCTTGTGGTAAACATAGTCTTTTACCTGTTCTCCACATCTTGTCATCATCAGGTTCTGCATCTTGTTTCCTCCAGAGATCTTGTTATTCTTTGCTTGCTTGCTTCTGCAGGCTCAACAATATATTGTAGTCAACTGTCTTGTCTGGCAGGACAACCTGTAAGGAGGTATTACTTGAAAGTGTTGAGGGACGGGGTTGGACTGCTGCTTTCTTTACTGCTTCATCAGCCTTATGGTTTACTCTTGAGATCTCATCTGTAATTTTCACGTGAGCTGCCACCTTGATAATGCCTATTTGAGTAGGTTGTGGGATAGCGTCCATTAAGGCACTCACGGCTTCAGAGTTCTTGATTGGAGTTTCTGCTAAGGCGAGAAAATCATGAGCCCGCCATATAGGTCCAAAGTCATGGGCTATACCGAAGGCATAGCGAGAGTCTGTGTAAAAATTAGCTGTCTTACCAGAGGCCTGGTTGCACGCTTCAGCGAGTGCCTTCAGCTCAGCCTCCTGTGCAGAGCAGTGAGGGGCGAGTGGTTCAGCTTTGATTATTTTGTGTGCAGAGACTACAGCATATCCTGTGTGGAAATTGCCCTTCACATCAGCATATCTGGAACCGTCTACACAAACCTCAAAGTCTGGATGAGACAATGGAGAATCAATTATATGTGAAAAACCTGCTGTCTCTTGTGGCATTAATGCTGCACAATCATGGGGTACCTAGGCTTCAGCTAACTCATCTGGTGACAGGGAATTTACAAAAAGTAATGTAGGTGGATTTAACACCATACACCTTTTCAAAGTTACGTTAGGAGGCATGAGTAGAGCACACTGCATCCTGAGATGCCTTGCAGTATGTATGTGTTTTGGCTGAACTTGTGACAGAATGTTATTAATGTCATGTGGGGTGTAAATGGTGAAAGGATTGTCTAAGACAGGGGTTCTCAACCCAGTCCTCAAGGACCCCCTACCAGTCCAGGATTTAGGGATTACCTGGGTGTGTTTAAGGTGTTTAGAAAAAAAACAAAAAAACACCTTAGACACACCTAGGTAATCCCTAAATCATGGACTGGTAGGGGGTCCTTGAGGACTGGGTTAAGAACCCCTGGTCTAAGACAATGTCGGTGGCTTTGTCCAGTACGGCAGTAACAGCAGCTACTGTTCTTCCTGATAACAGAAGGGTCACCTCTGGCAACAGGGTCCAACCTGGTGGAGTAATAGGCAATGGGTCTTTGTTTCCCACCGTGGTCCTGTATAAGGACATCTGTTGCATAACAAGACTGCTCGGTGCAAAACAGGGTGAAGGGTTTTCTGTAATCTGGGAGACCCAGGGCTGGAGCTGAGGTGACCAGCAACTTAAGTGTAAAAGGATTCCTCTGCTTCTGGAGTTAAATGAAAGAGTTCACGGGTGAGGCAATCATATGAAGGATGCATGTAGGTTTCTGCAGAGTGAAGCCATGGGTGACAATAGGAGACTAGGCCCAGGAATGGCCGCATTTGCCTGGTCAATGACAGTAAACACCTTAGAAGAAGATGGAATCTGTGACAACTGTGTGTGAGGGTTGGGAACATTGGGGGCAATTAGTTCGGTCACGGCATTAATCACCCTTAAACATGTACCATACGATAAACCACAGGTTTTCCTTTCTCTTACTTTTTAATGGGGTACAATGGGGTATTAAGTCAATATAGTAGGGACAATTACTCCTGCCTGCAGTAGCTCTTGAACAGATTTGGCGATGGCATCTTCCTGTGCTGGGCTGAGAGGGTACTGTTTCTGGCAGGAGATTCACTTTGACTGGGGACGCAGAGAGTCTGCCTGTGTCTGTCATCGCTGTTGCCCATAGAAAGTCGGGGACTGAGGTCAAGTCAATGGTAGGTTCTGTCAGAGGGCTGGACAAAGTGAAAGTCGCTAGTAAATTGGCAAGGGGTATTAGGTGCTTGTCCTCTAGAGGCAGGGACAAAGATACCTCTCCAGATGGACTAAACTGAATGTTGGAATTAATAGCAGACAAAATATCACTGCCTAGCAAATTAACAAGGGCATTAGGGCTGACAAGCAATCTGGTAACGAGAGAAGAAATCATGGAGCTTCAGCTTCATCTGGTGGGTTAAAGGGATTTTCCCATCTACACCCACACATGATAACACATTATCAGATTTCTCATAGGGAAAGATATATTTCTCCTGCAACAGAATGGACTGCCCCAGTGTCTAGCAGAAAAGGGACTATTCTATCACCTGGTAATGTAACATTAACAGTAGGACAGGGTCCAGCTACGTCAGGAATAGTTAAAGCGTGCAGGGACACTGGGTTGTCAATTTCCTATTGGGGTGGGGGTGGTGGGAGCTGAGTGTCATGAGCGTTGTCAGAATTGTTCTGCTGGTTCCTATTTTTAGGAGGACATTTACAGTTGCGCTTAATATGTCCTTTTCTCCCACAATTCCAACACTCAACCTGTCTCCTTTCTGTTCCTGATCTGGGGAGTGCCATAAGGGGTGTAATTCTTTTTCTATTATTTAGGTTGGCTTCTACTCCCATGGCTACTTCGATTAAGTTACTGTAATTAAGGCTTCTCCACTGTCTATTTTGGAGTCCTGTTCTTATGGGGACATGAAGCCCATCTATGAGACAATTAATTAACAATCTGGTTGATGTTACTTCGGTTTCAGTATAGCCCAGTGACTCCCAAGCTATTTAGAGTCGGACAAAGAATTTTTCCACTGACTCGTCTTTGCCCTGCACAATATCTCCTAGCTTGTGGGCTAGTTCCTCAGTCTTTACTTTTGCCCAATCTTTAAGGGCGATTACACAGTATTTTCCTGAGGCTGACTTTGATCTAAACCAATGGTCAGTTTTTGAAATTTGATCTTGCACGCCATTCTTCAAATCTTCCTCATGGACATCAGTGTATTGTGCAATTATACGGGTGAGGACTGGTCCTTCCTTTAGTCAAGTACTTGTTTTAGGTGTGCCCAAGTACATTGATAAGTGGCCTGGATGGTAGATAGGGATTGAACCAAGGCTAAAGGTTTTTTTTCTACATCAGGCAACTGTTGAATTATGGCCAGTTGTACACTTGGTTTCTACTCTTCCAATCCTTGAGGACCTAATGATCTGTTCTCATTATAATACTCCTGTCCATTTTTCTTCTTACTTTTTTCTTACTTCTGGTGTAAGAAATATACTAGACCATCCTGTTTCCCCTTCCTGTTTCCCCTTCCTCTGCTTCTCCCTCAGATTCTTCTTCCTTCCTCACAGGACCCTTGATTGTGACCGAAAATAGATGATTCTTCCTTGTGGAATATTCCTTAGAGACTCTGGTCTGTATTAAATGATGCACGGGAGGACAGGGGTACCTACAACCTCCACATTTTTCCTTCCACCAAGGGTTTGTCCATTCACATCTAGTAGAGATCCAAAAGGGGTTTCTGTGTGACTGGATTTACAGTGGACACAGGTATTTGGGGATCTTTAGGGACCGTCTTATGGTTAGTCCCTTCCTTACCTGGGTAAGGGGGAGGGGGTGTTTGTTTATGTCCTCTTTATGGTCCCTGGATCCCGGGACAAGTCAAAAAGAGCTAAGCCTGAGAGCTGCAACTGCCTTTGTAAATCAAGGTAGATAATCCTGGAAGCAGCGGTGTTGTTAGCAGCCTGGCAGCGGAACAGAGAAGCAAAGGCAGAGGGGACGATACCTGCCTAAAATAAGATCGGCAGCCTGGTTGGGTGGAAGAGTTCCTGATAAACCCTGTTCAAGCTTCGGCGACTGTTTCTGAAGTGCTCCAGAGTTTCCAGTGGCAGCGGGGAAGTTACCTTGGCGGAGGTACTTGGTTGGCGTACGGGAGCTCTAATCTCTCTAATTACCCCTCTGCAGTCCATGTAGTGAAGAATAAGTCTATTTTATCAACTTTGTTTGGTAATAGAGAGAGCTCATCACATGCTCAGAATGTGTAAAATTCTTTATTATCACTTTCAGGGTCACACGCTGCTAGCCTCTGGTGCTACTTGTCTATTGACTTATTACCAGCTCTCACTTGTCCTAGCATGCCTGCCAGTTCAAAGGCTTTTTTTTGGAACCTGTGAAACACTATTTAGTGAATTCCAGATGGTGCTGTCATGCTGGAACCCTTTACTACTTGGCAGGGCCACCACCAGAAATTTTGGGGCCCCTAACTCAGCTCAGGGTCTGCAAATACCACCCACTGGGTCCGCCTCCAAATACCGCCCACAGGAATACAAAAGGACACAGATACATACTAACAGACACACATACTGAAACAGACATACACGCATACAGGCATACACACAGGCATACATAGTGACAGACAGACATATACTAACATACATACAGACACACATGCATGAGGACATAAAGACACATACATACATACAGACATACATGCATACAGACACACACACACACACACACAGCTCATTTTCCAGCCACCCTCCTGTCTCTTACCTTTTCTTTGCAGGAGGGTGGCTGGGGATGATGGGAGTAGGCGCGGCTCCCTCTTCGCTGCCTGGCTCTCTCTCTTCACCGGTGCACGGGCTCCTCCCGCGCAGAGTGAGCTGGGAGGAAGTGACTACTTTCTCCCAGCAGCACTTGCGGCTGTTTTTTTTTTTTTTTTAAAAGGGGCCCGGTCACGCTATAGATATAGGGCCCATCGGGTGGCCCTGAGTGTGTGGGCCACTCGATGGGCCCCACACGTGGGGGCTGAGCCCCCCAGGGCCGCCGGGCCTGTGACAACCGTTATGGTTGTCACCCTCTGATGGTGGCCCTGCCACTTGGCCTCACAACAACATTGTGTCACTTAGTGAATATACATTAACTTGTAATTTCACCACTATGGAAGAACGTATCTGCTAATCATCTTACCTAAGGGCACTTATTGCTATGCTCTCTTCTGTGAGGTGTAGGCAAGTGCAGGTCAGAAGTCCAGGAAGAGTATTGGATGAGGGAACATATCTGCCTCTCAGACGTAGACAGAGTTATTCACTAAAGTGAGAATTCAAAGCAAATTTCAAATGGAAGGCCAAAATAGCCAATTTGGAAACATTCTCTCAGCTTTGCTAATATTTCAGCTACTTTGGCCTTTAAATTGAAACTCCCTTTGAGTTCCCAACAGTGACTAACCTTGAAAGATAATCCAAATCATGTAAAAATTCTATTATCTATAAAAGTCAGTGTGTCAACTCTTCTAGCCCTTTTCTTCCACCATATTATACCATGCGGTAAGCGACAGAGGTCCGAACATGTCAAGGTGGCAGTGGGGGCAGTGTGCCGAGGTAACAGGTAGGAGGGGTTTCACACAGCACCCCTATCTCACCTAACATTCCTTGTAGCATGGGTGTGCAGGACCCTGGTGGATTTCAGTATCCTTTATTCAGGTCTAGCAGGAAGGGAATTGTCTCACTGATAGAGCCA